AAGCAATGCAGCCGCTTGGCGGGAGCTGACAAGCTCGTTCCCTTTCAAAGAACCTGCTCGTCTACCAGCCCTGGCACACACAAAACATTCCCGTCACGGCCTTTGGAGCCTGAATTTCAGCTTTGATCATCTTAAAGCACATAAATCTTTCAAAAAATTTGGGGGGAGGGAGGGAAAAGATTCTCTTTGGTAATGCTCAAAGCTGCTGCTTGAAAGGCTGGAGTGGCTACTGTGGCTCCGTGACATTTAAACAAGTCTGCTAATGTGGACTGGACAGAAACCCAGGAGAAACTGGCCCATCTGTGATGTTTCCTGCCCCAATTCCCCTGCTCGAACTACAGTGGGTATGCATCCTCCATCTCGTCTGTGCGCCTTTGCTTCTGTCGGCGCCTTGCTCCAAAGGGGATGGGAGCCAGACTGGAGCTGCGCAGAGGGACCGCAGCTTGCGGCGCTTGCCTGAAATACCGACATACGCAGAACGGGATCCAGAAAGCAACCTGTACACCAGCAGCTGAGCAGTGCCAGCACTGAGCCCATGGACTACTTGACAGCCAGTGCTCTACTATGGCTAAATAATGTCTTCAAAGGACAGTAATTTGCATTGCCATGAAGCCATGGATCTATATCTTGGCCCTAGGTCATCCTTCCTATTCTCGACCGTCATTTGGACTCATCACTCATCTACCAGTAGCCAACAAACCACCTCTGCATCCACCCAGATCCCCTCTCATTTCTCTGTGTACCAAGACATGGGTAAATACCCGCTTCCCTTCTGAAAGCTGAGCATCCTGCATGGATTAGAGATGGAGAAGGACAAGATGAGAATCCGCTCCTATCTATGGGCGTTGTGCAGCCCAAGGGGGGAGTGCGGCCAGGGCTGGCTCGCTGCAGGTTACTTACATGCGTTGGGGGACCCGTTGGGGAGAGGCAGGTAGGATCCCGCTCGCCAAGACCTGGAGCGAAAGTTCTTCTTGCACTTCCCGCAGTCCTGGCCCGTGGTGTTGTGCTCGCACTCGCACTGAAGGCTGCCCTCTTTGAAGGTGCACAGGTTAGCATGGAGGTTGCATTTACACCTGGAAGAGGAAGACAGGAGAAGACCTGTCAGGTATTACCGCTACTCCTCCTTGCCCCTGGCGTGGTGCTGTCTGTGCACATGAAAATACCGCGGTGAAGCTGGGCTGGTTACCCCTTTCCTGTTCCTTCTGTAAGACTTTTTCACTGAACTCAGCTGTTTTGCTCAGGTATCTGGTGCTGGGGTTACCATGTCCACTTCCTCGCCCAAGGTGCATCTGCAGTCTCTATTCCAAGATGAGAGCTCCTTTACTCCCACCATCCAACTGTGGTAGCCCAGACCGTTTAATGGTAAGTCAACGGCTCCAGCTGAGACTCCAGGAAGGAGTCACACTCATTTCGGGCTGTTACAGGAATCTGGGTGATCAGCTCCGATGGAAGCTTTTACTTGGAGGCAGAGAGGCCAGCCTCGGGCTTTAGATGGAGGAGCGTGGCTGACACTGGTGGGACTCAGCCCCTTGACCCCTGTGCAGCATGCTAAAGTCAAGAGCGTTTTCTCCCGTGGTTTGAAGTTGCACAACACAAATCCTTTTCCCTACGTGCAGCGCAGCCCCAGCCCGCTGTGACCAAAATAACACAGAGAACAAGTCACCATCAGAGTCTGTCTGTGAGTCCCTGCCTCATCAGAGAAGGCAACAACGAAAAACACTATTCAGCAATTTGCAAACATTAACAAACTTTTAATGAGCTGTAGTGCAGTATGCAGGGAATAATTATCTCCGTGCACAATAATTCCTGTTGCTCAGACTCCGGAGGTGACTCGCGCAAAGCACAGAGGCTGAGCCCGAGCCCATAACTCGTTACGTGGCACTGGTGACTCCCAGGCCCGAGCTCAGTCTATCAGACACAGACTTTGGGGACCAAAACCTCTCATTTCATTCCAGACAGTGGATCCCTAGCACAGCTCGCTGTTTTTTCACTGCTCTGTGCAATAATTTACGCTCTTAGAAGCAGATCCATTAGAAAACAGTAATGCTGTGCCTGATGTGAATGGGTAGAGAAGTCTGACCAGGCAGTCCTTCGTTTTACAGGGCTACTTGCACAAGAGATGCAGAGCTGAGGGGTACGAACTGCTTGCAGAGAAGACAGAGGAAACATAGCCTGCTTCTTCGTGTGCTCCATCTGCACTGGGATAAACAACCTGGATTAGGTTGGGCGCCGTGAGCCGGGTCTGTCCCAGCTGCTGGTGCCGCACATGCCCACCAGCTCCTGGTGCGGTTCCCCCTCTCCCTTGAGCCCCCAAAGATGCTCCCCAGCCGCCTGCCTGACCCGCTGAGGCCGCCTTTGCTGTGCTCCTCCTCACGCACGGCTGGATAAGCTGACCTCATGTATGATTTTTTTTTTTTTCCTCTCCCTCCCATCCTTGTCCTTAATTCTAGCAAACCCCGCTGAGAGGCTAAGCATAAGCTGGATGAACGGTCTCTCTGTCTTACAACCCTGCCCTGTCTCCAACCAAGCAGGGGAGGGAATATTGCAGTCTCTAAAAGGCAGGAAGGAAGAAAATGGGGTCCATGGAGCAGAGGCAGACACGCTCAGCATTCTCCACTTGAATCTGTGTGTTAGCGAGAGCTGGAGATGCCGCGTCACGGCTGAAAGCACTAACAGCCTCCAAGCATCAGTGCTCTGGGAGCAAGCCGTGAATCCGAGCGTCCGGGGGAAGGAAGCGGCTGTGGCTGGAAAAAAAAAATTTCAGCTGCTCTGTGTCCCCTCTGCCTCCGACGAGGAATGTTTTTTGGCTGAGCTGTCCCAGCCCTTTGGCAGGGGTGATGCCCAGCCCGGCGTGCTGCGGAGCCTGGCTCTGAATTACTCAGTGTCCACGCAGCATGGCCTCCTTCTCTCACTTCAAAACAAGCAGACGAGAGGAAAGTAGGCAAGAGAGCAGGTTAAAGCAAGTCAAAGCCTCACCGCTGCTGCTCTGGGCCCAGCCTGAATCAGAGCAGCAGTTTCTGGGAGCTGCAGCTCTCCTCCCTCCGGTGGGAGCAAGGGGATGGGAGCCAGCTCCAGGGCACAGCCTTGAGATGCAGCTGAGAGGGAGTTTAAGAGCCCCAGGGGAGGGGGTACAAGGAAGACAGGGCCTGGCATCCCCGTTGTTTTCTCTGAAGCCTGGAGTGACATGGAGGGTAGTGCTTGGCTCCTGTCCTTGACCCAGCTAGTCTCACAGTGGGGACATCAGCTGAGGGTCACCACCACCTGGTCCTCCATGGTGGCCTGGGGCAGCCTCGATCACCCCCCCTCCACCCGAGGCACATCCTTGCTCCTGGCATCCCCCACTGAGGGCCAAGCAGCCGTTTTGGGGTGCTTCTACCAGCTCCAAGCTGCTACCATGGAGGAGGGGGAAACCCATTTGCCGTTAATTTGGCTCCAGCTACAAACCCTTCACCAAGCAGTGGGACCCAGCCTTCTCACTACCGGGAGAGCGAAGCACGGATGCGTGCAGGAGGCAGTCAGACGTGCCTGCTCGTACGCACACACCGCTCGCTTGCTGCTGACGAGGGCTGGGTGCTGAGCACCAGGTCCCAGGACAGCCCTCGGTTGCCTCCCGCCCCTGCAAAGGCACCTGCGCTCCCCTGCCAGCGGGATGGGGACCGGGTGGGTGCTCATGGACATCCCCCAGCCACTGCGTGTAGGGGTGATGGAGCACTGCTCTTCCCAGAGAAGACCCTCACTTCCTAACTGGTGTAAACAAGGAAAATAAAAGAGAAAGCAGAGGCAGCTGGTCACCCTGCCTGCCTGCACCCAGGTCACTTACATTCTTGCTGCTCCGCCTTTCGCCACTGTGCAAAAGTTTTGTTATCCAAAGGATCAATTTTACCGGGGAATTGCTTTCTGAATTCGACCTTTGAGAATCATCAATCTAAGCAGAGAACTGTAACCCCAGCAAGCTGACCCCACAACACAGCACTTTTCAGCCCAATCAATCAGGCTGCATTATTTAATAGCAAACAGCCGAGCGCCTTCAGCCAGCCCGGGTTGCCAACTCCATTTTGTGCGAAGGTTTCTGCATCCAGGCCTCGCCGCTACTCCTGCTCAGCGGCTCGGCTTTAACCCGGTCTGTGCACAATGTCTTTCCCCAGCCAAGATCCAGCTGGTGGAGACTGAAGTAAATGGCATTAGCCCAGTCCCCTGGGTGGGAGCTGCTAGTCCTGCTTGCCTCCGCTCATCTTCCTCGGGCGGCCAGCCATCGCAGGAAAGAACAGATGAAGGGAAAGGTTAGGAGCTACTTAGGCTTAAATAGCAGCAGAGGGGCAGACACCTGCGCTGTGTCCTGCAGAAGGCAGTGATGGCCCCGCTCCAGTCCCGGGGCTGCTCCAGCAAAGTCCTGGTTGCAATATGGTCCCTTTGGCTCCGGAGGAGATCTGAAGAGCTGGGAGCGTTTCTCCTCTCCAGCTCATGGGTCAAGGCTAGCGGTGACAGTGCTGTTTCTCAGTGAGCATTCAGAGCCGACGTAGGATGCAGCCACGGTGGGCACAGCCCAGAGGAGAGCAGCCCCAGCACCCATAGGCACCCTCCATGGCCAGGGGACACCCAAGTCCTGCGCCGGGCTGTTAGTAGGTCACACAACTGCATTTTGCATTAAACAGAAACTGGCTCACACCTTTCCTGGCAAAAGTAGCCAGAGCAATGTGTGGCCCAAGACGTCACAGTTCGCACGATGGGGTATTTATGAGGTTATTTTAGTGCAGGTCGTTCAGCTGCTGCCTTCCCTCAGAGCGGTGCAGTGTGGGCTGATGCTGCCAATGCCTTCACCGGGGAACATCACGGAGCTTGGAGCGCCGAGGAAAGTTTACAGGAAAGTGTCCTTTTCTTTTTCAGCCTTAAAGAACACTTTGCCATCCTTGCATTTCTCCAAGTCAGCATCCTGGAGGTCACAGCAGTGAGCGGCTGGAGAGGTGGCTGGTGCCAAGCCCACGTGTGAGGGAAGGAGATGCCCGTGCACAGGCTTAGGAAGGGGGTGAAGGCAGGGGGTGAGTGCCGCAAACCTGCAGAAGCTGAGCTGGGAGTGGGAAAGCAGCCCCTGTCCCTGAGCTTTCATTAATAATGACTTTTGAAAGAATTTTAAAGAGCCACCCCAGCCCTTTGCGTTCCTTCCAAGGATTCTTATGTGTTTTACAACCTCTTTTCTATCCGTAACCCCACTTGCAGAGCAGGGAAGTAAGGCAGAGAAAGGCAAACAGCACCTCTTCATCCTTCTCCCTCCCTGAGGGGCTGAGCCAGCCCTGGGCTGCTGGAACGCCCCCCTCACGCCTGATGCCATGCCCCCACTGCTGTGCTGGGTAGGGCTGGAGGCACCACTCGCTGGGTGGAGACCCAGAGAGCTGCTCCATCCCTGTGCACCTCTCGCCCAGCTCCCACCATGGGCTGATCCTGCCTTGCCCCAAGCTCCTTAAAAAAGCCTGGGTGAGGACATGAGGCAACAGATGTCCACTACAGTGGGCCACCACCTCCTTCCAAGTCTCCATCCAGTCCAGCCTGCTCACTCATCTCCACCCAGTGCTCGCCACGAGGATGCTACCGCAGGGCCACATGGCCCCAGGGATGCTGGGGAGCCCTGGTCCCCTCCTGCGGGCTCCTGGGCCACTGGGCTCCTGCTTTCCCCTCACCATCGGCTTGGCTTTGCCCCCCTGCTCCCTTTCTGCTCGCCCGAGCTGGCGCTGGGGAGAGGCAGCGCACAGCAGAGAGCTGCTAATGACTGCCATCCAAAGGAAGGCTTATGATAGCTTTCCCCTGAATTGTTTGCTCTCACTGTAATTGATGAGTCTTTAATGAGTCTCATGGGACAATGTGTTTGAAGGGAGCTCTTTCCTCTCCATCCCCGAGGAAAACGATGTTTCAACTGATCTCAGCTCTCGGGGAAACATGAATAACTCTTCTCCATCTCTCTACTGTCATCCCCAGCCGTTGCTCACAGCATGCTCCGGCAGCTGCCTGGCCATGACTTACCCACTTTTTACCTGCTCCTTTGCAACTGTTTTGGCAGCTCAGCAAAAGCAGGGAGCAAATC